GGGGATTCACTTTCTGTACTGGGTGTAGGTAATGTTTGAGAAAAATTCGACGGTAGAGTCCACTAGTCGTACCTTATGAAATCTTGTTGTCCTTCATAAATGGTCCTTGTACATGACACTCGTTGGGACCTGTCGATCAAGAACGCTGCTAGTGGTAGATCTCCGCTCTCTATCATCGAGTTCAAATCGATAAAGTACTGCAAGTCAACCATCATTGCAGCTTTCTTCGGGCCCTACCGCTCTTGATGAACGGGGTCTCCGCACTTTGGCCGCTTGTGGTAGGAGCTGGAGTCTTTGGCATGTGGGCCTGACTCTTTAGAGACCGTCAATGACGGATTGTTTCTTCTCGGCTGCCTTTTGAGGGGCTTTAACCTTTGTTTCTTGCCATCACGTCTGAAGTGCTGGATATTATCGACTTGGTCGAAAGATAGGGAAGTCTGTCGATTCTGGCCGTTCTTTCTAACAGCCAAGAGCTTCCCCCGTTTATTCGACCCTGCGTTCCGGTCTGCCACTTTGGCTAAGACTTTCCGGACTGGCTTTCTGTATTAATGGTCACTCGAACACGGGTGTTCTTCTTGTGACCAGTGTCTTCGATGATGGAGAGGAGGAGGAGGAGGGGGAAGGGGGGATCGAATAAGACTACCTTACCGCGACCAGCGCCTGTATTCATTGTCAGCTAACAGTAGATGTATAGAAACCACCTACTTTGATTGTAATTGAAGAAATCAGATAGGGAATTGATGGAGTAGAAGTGCGAAGGTGTGCGCTCCTTCCTGATACGCTCCTTCACCAGAGTGACGCTCTCTTTGACAAGTAGGACAGTGGAATAGGTAAAGAAGAAGCGAGGGGAAATAAAACCCAGGAATATCAGAGAAGAAAGAGAGGATTAATAATATATAACTCAAGCCAAAGAAGACATTATACCTAGGACCTTGATATTAAGAAATGAAAATGCGGTGGGCACGGAGCATTTGCCCGGGTATATTTACAGACTTCAATTGGAGGACGAAATGTCGCTATCTCAGACCCTTTGACTCATCGGACCTCAACTCAAACGAAGTCTCATATGACCTCCATTTCCACATAGGGATCTTAGCCGCATACATCTCATCAATCTCGGCAAAAGTCCGACCACGCGTCTCCGGCATGAAAAAGTAGAAAAAGACAATGATGGCAGCCATGCAGCCAGCGAAGATGAGATAAGTCTTCGCGCCAAGGTTAGCCGCATCCGCTGAACTCAGCTGCGGAACGACGAGAGTGGTGATAACGGCGGTCGTTTGCGCACAGGCGATGGTGTACGCCATAGTGTGGTGGCGGAGTTTGGGAGTTGCCATTTCGGAGGGCATGAGGTTAGACAGCGAGAAGAAGGAAGATGCCCAGAAGAAGTTGAATACAAAGGACAAAGCGGCGATGGCCATAGTGGCTTTCCTATTGCCCCTGTCGAAGGCTAAACCACCGGCCACGACGTCAATTATGAACAGAATCCCCATTCCGATGAATGCGGTGGGACGTCGACCAGCACGGTCGATGACCAAGGGTGCGGCAATGGTGCCGGCTAATGTACAGCAGGATGAGATGATTGTCAGGGCGAAGGCGTCTGCAACGCCCAGTTCTGTGAGGAAGACGGTTGTATATGTGGTTGAAAGAATGACGCCTGATATTTGGTTAAGAGAGAAAAAGGAGCCCGCAGTAAGGGTACGCTTGAGGTGCTGTCGATGGAATATGTGCCAGAAGTTGGTCTGGGCGTGCAGCTCGCGCTCATTTTCTTCAGACAGCCTCATGAGACGGAGTTCTTCTTCAACCTCGTCGTCGCTGGACCCACGCAGTTTCCGCAGGTTGCGTCGAGCGTCTTCTATATTTCCCTTCCCTGCTAGCCATTGTGGGCTTTCTGGAAGCGACACTGTCAGGACGAGAAGAAGGACAGGCAGAGCGCACTGTATAGCCATCGGGATCTGGTACGATAGAGTTCCATCGATCTTTTCCGTTCTGAATACCACCACGGTACCTACCACGCCAGCTGTTAGATTCAAGATGTTCATTGAGCTGACACATCTTCCGCGTATAGATACCGGAACCACCTAAGTATAAGAATGAGCGAGATTGAACATCGAGCAAGTGGCAAAAGATCAATACCTCGGAGATATATAAAGGGGCAGTTGCATTTATGATGCCCAAAGCAACCGAATTAATGGAACGACCTCCCACAAAGGCCCCCAAATTTGGGGCAAAGACTTGCAGCAATCCACCACCCACAGATACGAAATACGCAACGATCAAAGGCCATTTGCGACCAAGGTGGAAATTCATTGGCGAAGCAAGCAGACCTCCGATCACGGATCCCACCAATGGAAGGGAAAAGACCAGATTTTGATTGCGAGCCGTGAGGACATACTTCCCAGTGACTGGGTTAGGTCCTTGGAATTTCTCAACCTGCGGGAATCAGCTGGGATCATCATCCTCTGCGATGATGCGACACTTACAAAATCTGGCAATGCAGCAACCGGAGAAATGATCTTGTCATCGAATCCGAACAAGAACGAGGCTGCACCAAACACTGTACAGGCGAAGATTAACTGGACATTTATCGCGTGGGACTTTCGAGGCGCGTCCGAGTCCGAGTAGTCGACATGTTGAGTTTCTGTCGAACCACACTTGAAAGACATGGTGCAGATCTGAATCCAAAATAGAGTGAGCCTATACCCTTGAAGACACACTTCCATAAGGGTATTATTTGGCTATATACTGATTCGTATCAATTCATACTGAAAGGGGATGTGGAAGGGAACTTCCCCAGATCCCCCCCGGATTTTCTTCCCTAACCCCCCGGATTTATTTGGGGAAGTTTCTCCGAGATTTCCCATTTCAGTCTATTGCAGCGAGGTGATATATCTTATTGCATATATATGTGTGAGTCGAAATTACCCCATCTGCTCATATACTTTCGTCCTTATCTGCTGGTTGATTTTGGTTTCGATTTATTTTTCGATTTCGCCGACAATCCCCCTTATGCCGAACCTACTCCCGATTTACCCCCGAATCGGGATCAATCTTTCTTGAAGCCGAGATCTGGATCACATCACCGGATTAGAATTTGAACTCTCTAGGGAATACTTCGGGAATAAGAATTGGCCAGTTGTGCACTGCGATAGAGTATATCTCTATCTGGTCCTCCGACAAAGACCCGTCCATTTTCGACTTTTGCATCAAATCCAATATC